AGTAGAGACGGGGTTTCACCATGTTGACCAGGATGGTCTCGATCTCTTGACCTCGTGATCCACCCGCCTCGGCCTCCCACAGTGCTGGGATTACAGGCGTGAGCCACTGCGCCCGGCCATTTTTTGCATTTTTAGTAGAGACGGGGGTTTCGCTATGCTGGCCAAGCTGGTGTCAAAATCCTCACACCCGGTGATTCACCTGGCTTGGCTTCCCAGAGTGCTGGAATTACAGGTTTGAGCCATTGTGTCCAGGCTCAGTAGGCTTTTAATTTAAGGTTGGCTTTCCCTGTCACTCAGGGAATATATTTCTGGTATACATGAAGGGAAGGCAACACAATTTTAATATTGGCCTTAGCCACATGCACTGGGAAGCATGCGCTTCTTGGTTTTGCATGACCTTACTTCCCCATTAACTAAAATAATAGTTATCTCGAAACGCTATATGTGATTACAAACACCTTGAATTGACACAAGCGCCTGAAAGTTATATATTTCAAATATATTATTTTATGACGGATGTGAGTTGTGCAGAACAATAGAGAAAGAAACTTAAAATGGAATTAAGCTGTTATTTTAAAGGAACTTTCTACATGGGGAAAACAAACAATAAAAAAGACTTCAGTCTAATTCTCAAAACAGGGTAATGGCATCTAAGGAGTATATTGAACGACCTGTGGCATTTAGGTAATCTTTCTTGTCTTAGTTCATTCACATGAATAGCTAAGACAAATACTACATAATTTGTCTCAACACTTTACATTTGGAGAACTCCTTTCATCTTAAAGGAATTCCAAAGTATACATCTAGTTACTATGTATATATATAGAGAGAGAGAAAGAGAGGGAGAGAGAGAGAGAGCAGACTACTTCATCCAATACTGGAAAATGTCCACTTTGAGAAAAGATTTTTTTATTTTTTCATTGATTCACATGCATGAAAGTTTCAAGACAGAAAACAACAGAGCCTGGTGCTAAATTAACATCTACCCATTTGGAATCGTAAACATGCATGCATGTGTGTGCCTCTGAATATGTATGAGTGTTGAGGGGAGGGGATACATTATTGGAAAGAGTGGATATGGTAAGAAAGGGTGGCCGAGGGCCTTTAAGGTAGCTGCAGGCTTCGAGGCCTATTGCCCTTCAAATCTTGAAAGCAGTTTCTCCTGTACCTTTCTTACCTAAAACAGGATTTTGAAGTCAAGATTTAACTGTAACTAAATAAACAAATTTCCTGTTTCATTTAATATATGCAAGGAAGTAGACAATAAAATCTACCCGAAAGCCAGGGGAAATGGACAAAATACAATTATGTAAATTATCATGCACCTAAACACTTTCATAATATTTATATTCTTGGAAACATGGTCATTATGTTTGAAATTTAAATTTTAAGCCTGGTCTAAAGTTCTCCTTTATTATTCAAACCCAACAAATATACTCAGTCTTCTAGATAAGTCTCAGAGTAAAACATAAGAGTGGCATAAAAAACTCCTAACGTATATATTTTTAAGTAGTTATGTAAGTCAATGTCTACGCAGGCAGGTAAAAAATACAGTACTGGTAACCTCAAGTAACATAAGGAAGTAATATGGTTGGACATAAATGATGATTTCAGTACTCTACCTCTAAGATAATCATAAGCTGGAGAACACGTTCTGTATCTTCTTCCTCTTCTTCAAGGTCATATGATATGGTAAATGTCAACTGTCCTCCTACTGATGGGAGCTACAAGAGAGAAGATGCATATCATTGCAGGATAGGAGGTGGACTGCCAAATCATATTTTACTTATTGTTGTATAATAATTTTATTGTTCTAGAGGGCAGTATTTGCAAGAAGCAGAAATCACTGGAGTACAAAGTGGGAATGATAGACATTTCTTCAGGAGTAACATTTCTGCGAACCTTACCCATCAACTGCAAGCCTGACATAAACATAAATTTAAGTCTTATTTTCTCCAGTATTGCAGGCTTGCTGAAATAGGTTAAGTTCCATGAAGTCAAACACAGATCCTCCTGCCATCTTCCTAGTCTATAGTCTGAGCTTTACAAATTCCGAACAAAGAAAGATCTTTGTCAAAATTGGGAGATTTCTACCCATCCCTGAGGGTCACTCACTTTCTGTGAGTCTGAATTCTTTCAACAAAGACATCCCTTCATTTGACAGGCACTTTGCATAGCCCACATGCTTAGCCGAGAAACGTTATTGGTCAAGGAAAAACAAAGGTTAGCAGCAAATTTTATTTTATATTAAAATTCAATCAAAACAGCCAAAGAAGGTATACTTTCCTCTACGCGATATAATAGGCTTAGTTTGAATAAATATTATCTCCTTTTATTAAACAAACTTCTTTCCTTCCAACATGCTTGCCAAGCCCCATGCAATGTACACTTGAGGTTTACATTTTTTGACATTGACAGTCACCTTGTAGAAATTAAGAAAAATATGAGAAAGCAAGGTCATTTTTGGACAGGAATCAAAATTGAAGTTGTGAGTGACAGATTCAATGCAAATGCTGTAATCCTTTTTTTAAAATTCCACTCCAGCACTGTAAATAGAGGCATTCATAAAACAAAGCTGATGATCTATATTCTGCTGTTAGCTCTGTGCTGACACGCGGAGACCTTGGCTTCACGGGGGTGGCTTTCTATGGCCTTTCATGGCAGACCCTGACCAGAAAGCAATTCCTGGCTGGGAGTGCACTGGATGGAAAAGGAGGAACCCTGATTCCTCCAAACTGTTTCAGAAAGAATGGCACATAGCTTGTCATTTAAACAGGATTTCAAATTGCAGCTCTGCAATGTCTTCTAAAAGCTCGTTACGTGGGGCTCTATAAGGAACTTAAATTCAGAAAACTCTTATTTCCCTAATCCACTGAGAAATGGCCTTATTCTAATGTCATTTCACATATAAAATAATAAATATCTACCTAGACTACAGCACTTGGCATTACTGTGAGTAATGAGGAGTGAACCTATGTAGAAGATTTTGGGTTCTACTAAGATAAACATTCAAAATTGCACATAACATGCTTCTTGAAATCAGCTACATATTTTCTCAATAAGAGGATTCTAGAAAGGCAGATGAAAAAAACATTTTATATATTTCAAAAAGGACTGAACTATTTAGAATTTTCTAAATTAGTAAAAATATTTGGAAGGAGATTTGGGAAGAACACTGCAACATGGGCCTAAAATGTTACAAAATTTTGAGCTTCCAAATCTACTTTGATTATTTAAAATTTGGATTACATACTATTTTTTCTTGAATATGGCTTCTCTAAAAAGGAAAGAAAAATATCAACTTAATATATGATATCACCATATATACTCAAGTAAAACACATTTGAATTAAGGATAATTTTCCACTTTATCAATAAAGAGTCAAAGTGTGTAATTTGAATGTCAAAGCAGTTAAGACTACAGATGAGGCAGAAAAAGATCACCTATGATATTTGATTTTTAATAAAATCACATAAAATGTAAACTTGCAGCAGTCCCCAACCTTTTTGGCATCAAAGACTGGTTTCATGGAAGACAATTTTTCCATGGATGAAGAGGAGGGGTTTGGGGATAAAATCTTCAGATCATCAAGCATTAGATTCTCATAAGGAGCACGCAACCTAGATCCCTCGCATGTACAGTTCACAATAAGGCTCATACTCCTGTGAGAGTCTGATACCATCGCTGATCTGACAGGAGGTGGAGCTCAGGCGGTAATGCTCACTTCCCTGATGCTCACCTCCCGTTGTGCGGCCCAATTCTTAGCATGCCACAGACCTATATGGCCCAGGGGTTGGGGATCCCTGACATAAAGTAAAATATTATGAGAGAGGAATTAGAGGTAGGAAAGGGGGAAGGAGGAACAAATAAATATGCAGAAAAAGAGGGGCACCTTATGCAGGTCAGTGATAATATAAAATATGAACTAAGGAATAGAAATAATTTACCCTATTCTGCTAGGGCTAATAATAATAGCAATAATAGTAAAACATTGTTTTAGCTCACATTTTATAAAATGATTTTTTCTAAACTCTTTTGTGTATCTCTGATATTCATATTTGCCATTATTACAACATATTTTGAATCGCCTGAAAATTGTCATGAGTGACTGTTTTACTTCCATTAAAGTTGTGTGAAACACAGACCATTTAAAAAATATGCAGGATATTGTTACTAGATATTTTTTTTTCACCCAAGCCTCAAGCACCCATTGACACAATGTCAGAATCAATTTATTTTTCATTCGCCCTAAAGGTATATGTGTGTGATCACATTTATGTAACCAGTTAGTCAAGTACTTAATTCTTTCTTTCTTTATTTTTTCAGATAGAGTATTGTTCTGTTATTCAGGCTAGAATGGAGTCACTTCAACCTCCACCTCCCAGCCACAAGCAGTTCTCATGCCTCAGCTTCCCGAGTATCTGGGACTAGAAGTGTGTGCCACCGTGCCTGGCTAATTTTTTGTATTTTTCGTAGAGATGGGGTTTCGCCATGTTGTCCAGGCTGGTCTCGAATTCCTAACCTAGAGCAGTCTACTTGCCTACACCACCCAAACTGCTGGGATCACGGGTATGAGCCACTATGCCCAGGCACTTAAGTAATTCTTAAAAGGATTGTTTAAGATGTCATTCTGCAATTTAGAGGTTGTACTTCTAGGAACATTAACTTATTTTTTTTTTTTATTTATTTCCTTCTATTTTTCCTTCAACTCCATAATCTTTCTATAAGCTGTAAAATCAAGATTTTCCTGGTGTTTCCAGCTAACGTGTCTTCCCCAAAGAATACATACCATTGTATAAGAGACTTTGCAATGAGTCAATTATAGTAAAGTTCAGTAAAGACAACTCTTTCTTTACTGAAAGAGGCTGTTATTCAGGGAAAAAGCCTTGAGAATATTCTGAGTATACATTGTCCTTTTCTATTGCTTTAGATGAAGAATTCTCTGCCTCTTCTCCGTCTGTCCATTCCTCCAAGTTCCAGGTGCTGCCTTTGTTTGGTGCCTCTTTGCCTTTGCTTCTCCACTCTCCTGGAATCCCTTCAGCCTCCCAACTTTTACTCTCTGCTTCAAATCCAGCGTGCACAGGGCTGCCAATCTTTATTGGCTCCTCTAGCTCTTATCTATGCTTATTTATTAGTTTCACTCTCAATGAAAACTGGGACATCAGTTTCTTTATTCCCATGCATCCATGTTTTCTAATTTTATCTTCTGCATCCTGTTGACTACCTTTGGTACTCCATTAGAAGTGTGTCTTTAAAAGTCATTTATATATTCTGTGTGCCAACCACTAATGGCCATTTGACTGAGTTTTATTCTCAATTTTGATGTGATATATGGTTCTTATGATTCTTGAATCCCTTGTGTTTCATTACACTGAATTTTCCTAGTACTCCTTCCCCTGTCCAGGTCATACCTTTGTCTCACTTATAGACACATTTTTTTCTTATTCTCCACTCAGTCAGTGATATCTCTAAGACCTTTCTCATTCTCTTTTGATTATCATTCCATATGGATTCCATTCTCATGGATTAAACTACTACGTTTATACTAGGTCCATCAGTCTATATCTTCTGGACTGTCCTGTGTTTCTCTGTCAATTTTCTCTGGCCTCTATACAAAAGTGCCAGAGATGAAGTGACTTAAAAAACAGAAATTTATTTTCTCACAGTACTAGAAGCTAGGAGTCCAAGATCAAGGTGTTAACAGAGTTGGTTTCTTTTGAGGCCTCCCACCTTAGCTCATGAATGGCTGTCTTTTCTCTGTGTCTTCACAGGGTCTTCTCTCTGAGTGCGCCTGTGCTCTAATTTCATCTTGTTGTAAGAACACCAGTCATATTGGATCAGAGCCCACCCTAATGACTTCATTTTAACTTAATGAACTCTTGAAAGATCCTGTCCCCAAACAGAGTCATGTTCGGAGGTACTGAAGATTAACACTTCAACATACGACTTTTGAGGGAATGCAGTCTAGTCCATAACAGTCCTATATTAAATTATTTTCCAATAATGTCTCAAACACTCAACATACCCTAAGTTAATCTCATTATCTAGATCTTTCCAGGAGTCAAACTTGCTCATTTTCTCAACACCCATGATTGGGTCAAGCGAAATGCTTTATCTCTCTATTTTAAATCAGAAAACTCATAAGTGCGTCTGATTTTTTAAACTCTATTATTTATATCAGATTAGTCCTTCAATCTATTCTTTTGAAATATTTCTAGTCTAACTTTCCATTCCAATGCCATACCACACCAAGTAGGTTCTCATAAAGCATCTGAATTGATCTCTCTGACTTCAGTCTTTTTGATGGGGAAAGTTTAATCAACTATTACATATATTGCTGCACTTCCCTAATGAATATTCTCCAGTGGTCCGGGATCCCTAATGTCATTCAAGTTTCTGTGTAGTTTCAGTACCTCCAGGCTCTATCTAGCCCCACATTCACAAGCTGTGTGTACGGGTGCCCCAGGGTGCTGCAGTGAACTCACAAAGGTATGGTGGAATATTATAAACATTTGAAGGAAACACAACACTACTAAATATCTGTTGGGCGCTGCAAGAATTAATTCAAGGTGGTTCACAAGTTTAAACTTAGAACATGCTATATTCCATTTAATGATGTTCTCAATATTTTGAGCCACATTTTTGCTTACTTGTACTTTAGGCCATTTTGTATTTTTATTAAGAAAGGTTTTTAGGGAAGACTGTAATTAAAAGCAAGAACTGC